TTACCAGAATACTTTGAGGAGCCAGTTCTCCAAATTGGTTGCCTAAAACTGGATAACTAGATGCAGGCTCTGAGGACTGTATGTGCATGCGTATGTGCATATAGATATAGAGAGAGACTTAAATCACCTGTGATCTAAATACCTATTTTAAGTGGCTAATATGGATTTAACAGACTTGCCAGCCTTTAGGTAATTAAGCTTTACCCTCAGTGTAATTTCTAGCTTTAAATATTCAGAGCAGAGAACGTACTTCAAAGACCACAGAGACTGTGTAAAAGGCAATCATCTGCTGCAACAGCCGTGTTTTAAAATACAAATATGAGCTGTCCTCAGTTCTTAAAACTGGCTTGTAATCACCTACTTTTAGTAGAAGTTTCAGGGATGTGGACCCTAACTAGCTGGAAGTGTTTCTCTGTGGCCCTGAGAAAGGTACTTGAGGAGATTCACCCCTTTCCAGCATTTTCCTGCTGGCTGGCTCCTCATAGCTCTGTGCTTGTTGTAAGGTGCTCCCCACTCAGTATCGTACCTGGTTATGGATCCAGTTTTGAAATGCTGCTCTCCTCCACAGACACACAGAAACCTCCATAAACACAGTTATCATCAGGAATCTCGGAAGCTGAGAAGGAAAGAATATTTCTGCTTAATAGGATGGCCAGTAATTTGACAGCATTTTATGTGTTCCCTGTATAATGGGCATGCGTATGTGCATATAGAGAGAGACTTAAATCACCTGTGATCTAAATACCTATTTTAAGTGGCTAATATGGATTTAGCAGACTTGCCAGCCTTTAGGTAATTAAGTTTTACCCTCAATGTAATTTGTAGCTTTAAATATTCAGAGCAGAGAACGTACTTCAAAGACCACAGAGACTGTGTAAAAGGCAATCATCTGCTGCAACAGCCGTGTTTTAAAATACAAATATGAGCTGTCCTCAGTTCTTAAAACTGGCTTGTAATCACCTACTTTTAGTAGAAGTTTCAGGGATGTGGACCCTAACTAGCTGGAAGTGTTTCTCTGTGGCCCTGAGAAAGGTACTTGAGGAGATTCACCCCTTTCCAGCATTTTCCTGCTGGCTGGCTCCTCATAGCTCTGTGCTTGTTGTAAGGTGCTCCCCACTCAGTATCGTACCTGGTTATGGATCCAGTTTTGAAATGCTGCTCTCCTCCACAGACACACAGAAACCTCCATAAACACAGTTATCATCAGGAATCTCGGAAGCTGAGAAGGAAAGAATATTTCTGCTTAATAGGATGGCCAGTAATTTGACAGCATTTTATGTGTTCCCTGTATAATGGGAAATAACAGAGATTTATCCTAAAATCTTCCTGGTGTAAATCATGTTCTTGTTTTACCCATTATAGATCTGATGGGTCATATACATTACTCAGAAGAGCACTGACCGTTTCAAGGGCTTCTGTGGAACTCTGCTTGTGAGATTCATCCCATTGGTTTGAGTGATCCTATTCAGTTCATTTATCACAGAAAGTGTAGGGGTTTGTCTTTTCTTTCGCAGTATATATGGGTAACTGTATGTGGTAAGAGCTGGCCCAAGCGTGTTTCTTCCAGAGGTCTCACTGCCTGCATCATAACCAAATTACAGTGCTGTTTATTTCTGCTGGTCCTGTGCTCTGTCTCTGTACCTCAGCTGGGCACACATGGCACAGTTTAATAATGAGCCTCCATCCACTCTCCGTACATCCTTCCTAAAATATGTATTTTATTTCTTAATAGTGGAATTGTATCTCTGTGACATTGTTCCCTCCTCCTTCCCTCAGGTCTAGTGCAGAGTTAGAGTTCTTGAACTCTAACTGCGTATTGAACTTGGATTTTACAGCCGAGATCATGTTAAGGGCTCTAAAATGAGCTCCAAATTTGCCTACATGTTTTGTTTTTACGGCTTCTTATTTATTGCCTTTTGAGGGTGAGCCCAATCTTATCTATCTTTCTATGTCCTTGATCATTCTTGCTTTTGACATCCACTCTTGTTCTGCAGTATCTTTTTTTTTTTTTTTTAAGAGGAAGGCTGATAATGCTCCACGTAAGTCTGCACTCTTATTTCGTTGAGCAGTTTTAATATTCTTCACGTTATTAACTCTTCCATGTATGCATCCTCTCATCTTGTTAGCTTTTGTGTCCGCAAGCCTGCACTGAGCAGAGAGATCTCATTGAGCTGTATGTATATAATGATGCTGGGGTTCCCTTTCTGAGAGCATGAGATTAATTTAGAAGTATATAACATAGTAGTTTACATATTTTTTCACCAGTATGCATTGATTTCCCTTTGCCTATATTGAATTTCACTTGCTATCAAGCTGAGAAATTCACGTGGTTGATGTGGGTCTCTCTGCACTCCTGTTTTTGTTTCTCTTCACCATAGTACCTTATGCTATCCAAAGATGGTCTTGTTTCGCTGCTCCTTCCTTTTTCAACATCATTAATGACATTGGTCTTCATATGGAGGAGTAATATTCTTAACCGTTTGCTGTGATGAAAATTGACCCTTTAATTCTGCTCTTACTTTCTGTCTTCTTGGCTAGTTTTTCATCCAAGATAGTGTTTGGATTCATGTCCATGTTTTGTTTCTTTAGTAGCATGGTTTTTGAAAGTCTAAATAGGTATACAACTGTTTCCTGTATTCACTACTCACTACTTCACTACAGCGTATTCAAAGCGTTCCAGCAGATTAGGAATATCTAATTCCAGTATCTATTAGTAGTGTCTAATTCCAGATTAGCAATATTTAATTCCAGGAGATTAGTAACATCTGAAGAAGCCACGTCATTTTCAGGGTTAAAGAAATACTGTACTTAATGATTTCTTACCAAACTTCCAAATACTGATACAGAAATTGCTGATCTGGAAATACATACATCACATCTAAGCTTTTCAAAATACGGTGGCAGTACTCTTCCAGGGCAGAAGCAACGTCTCTTTTCATTTAGATACTACATTTTGTGGGTAGCAAATTAGATATATCATCCTTAAACCTCAGAAGGTTTTTATTATTTCGTAATTTAACTAGCTAAGCCAAATTACATATTTGATTGGAGATTATAAACCAGGTGACCCTCGTTTAAGAACCACTGAGGACAGACATCGAGTTAATGGATCATGAATCAGTAGCAGCCCTCGTGATGAGGGTTATTGTTGTGTTTGATGACAGAACTAGTTAAGATCTTAACTCAGTACTAGCTTTGTGTAGGAAATATATCCTTAGAAAAAAAGTCCGTGCTTCTCAAATCATTTCTTATCTTATGAGTTGCTGTTCTGTTTTTCCCTCCATTAAGCTTTTAAAACGTTGAACTAGGATAAAATGGAAGTTCAGTGGGGATACATGGGGAGCACATGATGCTATTCAGTGAAAGAGTCAATTCATCCTTCCCACCAGCAATGTGATGCAGAATTCTATTTTGATTTTAAAAAAATGATTTAGATGAGCTTTAAAGGAGAACAGGGTCTATATAGAGCAGTAAAATCCAAGCAGCTGGTGCCACCATCCTGTTAAAAGTTTTCTTTCCTGATACTTAGTATAGGTCAGAGCAGTAGAAATGGAAAAGAGGTACTAGAGAGGCAGAAAGAGCAGATATTAGTAGGCAGAAGCAATTTGCTACCGAGCATTACTTTCTGTCTGTACGTCACAATTTGTCAGCAAGCAAGCATGCTACTTTGTTTTTAAGTGAAGCCGTTGTGACACCCTGACTACTACTTTGTAGTCTCCTACTATAACCTCAATTCTTGGAACCTGGGCAGTGTAAATTGTAGACTCCTTTTGCAGATTTTCCTAAACTGAACTTGGAAAATATCAGTAATGAGAGAAGGAAAAATACATTTTCTTCTTCTCTTGAATTATATTCAAATTAATATATGAGAAATGGGAGTTACCTTAATACTGTTAGGACAAAATAAATGTTCCAGTCACCAAATCACTGTTGTGCATCGTATATCTAGCCTGTAATTCTTTATTACAAAGTATAAAACAGAAGCAGTAATTGTAACTCAAAATGATCTATGGATAATTTTTCCTAGAGAGGAGGTATTTTTGGTATCATACCTTTTTTGAAACCTATTCATTTGGCTGATAAATTTATTAAACATTTTTATCTGAGAGGCTGAATCCTTTTAAAATAAAATGTCCTAGGGATATTTCTAGACTAATGTCATTATTTCTGGACAAAAACATAAGTTAATCCATTTTATATTTTGAAATGGGTTGAATAATTTTAGATGTTATATATGGTTCCCTTTAGTCCTCAGAGAGTTGCGTGGAGGATAAGGATCAGGTATCTGTTTTATGAAGCGGAATGAATAACAGACCTAATCATGGCTGGTGAATTTTTCTTCAAGAATAGTTCGGGAGAGAATTTTAGTTTTCGTAATATCTGTATTTCATTTGCTGCTGTATTGGATATATGTGGTCACTGAGACAGAGAATTACAGGGGGAAAAGGGATAGTAGATGGGCTGAGGCAGTTGAATGGCCCCAAAGAGAATTTGGTGTCTCAAATACAAAGATTCCTGAATGGAGTTTGGTAGGTCACTTCATATTAAGGTTGAGTAGGTTGTCCTAGTACCTATATCACCTAGCTTTTTTGCTTGACTTTCTAAACTTAATCTTTTTTTAATAGGATTTTAAATGCAATTTCATTATGGATAATGTGTATGACAGTGTGGGTATTCATAAACCTCAGAGAGTAAAAGAATATATTGTGCCATGTAACCCTTTTCTTTGGTTGTGATTAATTTTCTTTGTTACACTTTTACTAGCACTTCTCCTGTCTAATGCAGGGAAATCAGTGAGTGGCTTTTGTATTCCACTGGCAATTCTTCAAATGCTTGAATTTGCTTTTTGCTGTTCTGTGGCTTTTAAAAAATACCTCTTTTTAAGTGCTGAGCACATTTCTATTGCAGTCTGTACCAAATGCTTTTTTTGTCCTGTTTCAGCTGTCACTTAGATGTTAATATGTAAAGCAAAATGGCAAAAATCAACACCCAGCACTCCTACCCTGGTACGCACAGACTGTCTGTCAGAACTACTGATGAAGACATTGAAAGGATTGAAAATGGCTTTGTCAGGTAATATATTTCTTTCATCACAGTCAAGAAGGCAAAGACTGCTGCATAATTTAATTTATGGTATCCCTGTAGCTCTGCATTATGGGAGTGTAGTAGCACGTCACTGTTGACCCAGGGCACTTAACGGACTTCTAATGGTAAGTACCCAAAGTACCGAAGAGACAGCAAAAGGAAAGTTATCATGTCTTGCAGTTGTGGAGCTAGAACCTGTATTACTTCAGGAGTAAACCCTGTCTTCACATCAGTGAGAATTACACAGACTTGATAAGGAAAACCCCCCTTTCTCAAGTAACTACTCAGATTGCAGGGTCTGTGGTGCGAGTCTTTGGGATTTGGAGAAAAAGGGATCCTCCCAGTGCCATGCAGTGAAGAGCCTTAGGAAGGTTTTTAACCTCTGCAAGTCCCCTGGCTCCTGTGACAGAGAGCGTATGTAGCATATAAAGAATATTGACATTCAGAGCCTCTCACTGCACAGTAGAACTATAACAGTTTATCTGCATTTACCATCCTCTGTTTGGGTAGTTTTAAAGTGGCTATTTAAAATGTGTCAGTGAGCTTATACTTATGTGTTACACAGTACTAGTCATTTTTCCAGTCTGGACAAATCCAGTGTGCCTGCAAGAAGGTGTTTGATGACCCACAGCACCTTTATAGATTGCAAAAGTGGCTTATTTTTGGCTTACTTTGCTCAACTACCTCAGCTAGGTTGGCCTGGTCAGACTGTCTCTTGCTGATCAAATGTGCTCCCAGACTACAGTACTCAAAAGCCTGTTGGACTGATAGAACTGCCGGTATTATGATAATTTTGGATTGCAAGCCCCTAGCATGTAGTATAGACGTGATCCCTGTCCCCATGCGGTATGTCCCTTTTTCTCTCCCTCCATTGCTTACGTGGTATTTTCTGACACGTAGGCGTACCTACATTAGTGAAAATGGAGCTGTTTTTTCTGTGCAGTATGGCCTACTTGACTTAGTTATACTACCTCATGGTCTCCTTGGGGAGATTTTTGCAAGGGCCATGTCCCTTTGTCTCCATTTACAGTGATACCTCAGAAACAGGGAAAACACAGATCAAAATGAACCTCTTTCTTTTATGTCGTTTCTGTAGAGAATATCAGTGATTGGCAGCTCACAGAATGGAATTACTGGCAGTGATGTGAAAGTGTGGTTGTAAATGTAGAATTAAATCACCGCAATCAGCTGCAGCTTCGGAGGCAATGACTTCAGTATGCCAGCTAAAGAAACTGAAATATGAATTGCACTTTATCAGGATGATGACGATCCTGAAAAGACATTTAGCTAAGACATGCTGTTTGCTGTGATCAACATTATTACAGGGGATTTATAGAGGAGTAAAAAGATACAATCTTACTCTGTACAAGAGATCTCATATTTAACGTTGCTGGATTGCTAAAGTGATTGCCAGTAAGTATGTATAACACCCTTGTAATATCATTTCAAAAAAAAACTATACATACAAAACTGTATATGTACTCATTAGAAGACAATGTAGTTTAGACTGCTCAGGCTGTAAGAATGTGATTGGTATTTACTAGAAGACAAATTCATAATTTATTTTGTAAAACAAAAGCATTCCATTCCATTTCTTTTTGCAAAAACAATGTCTTTTTGGTTGAAATGAAAATAGGAATTAAGGCTATAGGGAATTTCAGCAAATCCAAAATGATCAGAGAAATTAGAAGTGGATCTGGAAAGCTGGGATATGAAGATAGGAGAATGCTTTGTGTATTGTCTGTCACAAACATCAAAAGATGGTTTTCATTCCAAGATCCATACTAAGGCTTCAGTCATTTTCAAACAGAATCCAAACTTTCATCTTCAGATCTTCATGTTGAAGAGTGTTGTGGGACATTGTTGTTTAACCTGCATCTCAGACAGAATTCTGATATACGTTTTTTAATTTCAGATTTGAATTAAAGTACATCTGTACTTATCCATGTACGTGCTTATCCAAAGCTATAGCTTATCCATGATGCTTATCCAAAGCTGTAGCTCTTCTCTGTCTTCTAGTAAAATTTAAAACTATAAACTTTGGAAAATACAGGTTTTCTAGAGTAGTAACATTTCTCCTTTCCACTTATCTTCCTATATTTCCTCTTGGCTATAGTTCAGCAAAGCAATTAAGCACACTACTTAGTTCCCATTAAAGTCAGTGGGAGTTAAACTTATGTTTAATGCTTAGTATGTGCTGAAGTGCTTTTCTATTGCAGAATGAGATATTATCAAGAGAAAGGATACACTGAAACAGTTAACAGAAAGCTGCTGGTGGTCTTCAAACTCTCATCCTCTATTATGCTGCGGTAGATGATTCCTGTGCCCTTAGTAAAGTGTGCTATAAACCAAGCCCATTTTGTAAAACAAAAAATCAACAACAACAACAAAGTGGGGTATTGTTTTTTAAAATCCATTTTCTCTATGGAAGCGTCTCACATAGGAGAGGCAGCAAATTAGCTTATAGACATAGTTTACCTATCTAGATATTGGACATGGGGATTCAGCATTTTAGACGTCTGAATTTCAATGTCTGTATGTGAACAGGTGTGTAAGTTCCCACTATCATCAGGGGAAATTTACTCAATACTAGCAGTCAGTGGAGCCTAGTGAGCTGTTCAGTTTACTGTGAAGTTGAACAGCTCTTCAGGTTCCTTTGACTGTACTGATTATGGGAAGTATTCGGTTGCTTAAACATAGGGATCTAAAGCTTTTTGAGCTATCCTAGAGTATCTGACAGATCTAATTGGGGCTAGTGGATATGAGGTGAGAGCTGTGTCCTCTGGAGAGATCAGGTAAAGAACTTGGAAGTATTCCAAATGGTACTAGACTCCTATATTGAGGCAACTGAATCGGTCTCTTAAGACCTCAGTTGACTATAATGGAGACTTACATACCCAGCTCATACTCGGAGCCACATCCAACTCTTAGAAATCTGGCTGATACTCATCATTCAGAAGGACTTATGAGAATAAGTTAGTCTTCAGAGAGCTGAAGAGAGGTGTGAGATCCCTTGAGGCAAGGAGCAGAAACCTCAGCCTCTGTGAATTGTCTGTAAGATGCAATAACTTCGCTACCCCTGTGAAAATACAACATTTTTCAGTGTAGGCCCAGGAGGCGCCGTCCTCTGCTGGTGTTTCTGCTTTGTAACCTGCTCTGTGTTTTTTGGTGTGTTGCATATTCCCTTCTCATGTTGATTTCAGACAATGTAATACCCTTGGATAGCAATGGCAGTGTTACTGTTTTGTTGCAGATGTGAGACTAGCTCAGGGAGACCAGGTAGGAATGAGTGTGACTTTTTAAAAACAAATTGAAAACTGAGACATGCATTGAAAATGTAATATCAAAAGCCCCCTCTGATAACTGTCCCTCTGCATCAGTGTAAAGCCAATTGACAGATGAGGGAGGTGTCTTGTGTCATCTGAACAGGGCTGAGAGAAGTCAGGAATGAGTATCTGAGTTTTATAATATGGAATTACAATAACAGAAAAGTTTATTTTAGGTTTTATTTTTGATTCACATTTGTGTGAATTAAAGTGGAATATGTTTATGATTATGCTGTGTAACGTTGGACAGATGCTTCTGTAAGAGCTGTCCAGCAGAGTTGTTTGTGTATTGTTTTCTGATCCTGTTGCAGATATACATAAGTTGTATTTGTAAAAGTGAAATTCAATCCCTGTAGTACTGTTTCCACCAAATTATTTTGATGTTCCTGTCTGTACATGTTGTATTTAGAAACTTAGAACATATTACTGAGTTTACTTATAAATTGTTATATTTACTTATAACTTAAACCTAATTATGGAAAGTCTTGATGCATGTATGGACTAATAAAAAAATTGTGTTTCAAAAACAGAGTCAAGCAACAAAAACAAAAATATAGACTTTCAAAATTTCATTAAATGAGTCCACAGTTCCATCTAATTTTAATTCCAGCAGTTGAGTCTGAGAGTTTCACCTTTCTCTCCTACAGCTTAGCAGATTTTGTTGGAGCAGCAGAAGGTATGAATTTTCCACTGAATATGTCTGGTCACTTATTGGTAGGGATCTGACCCCAGAGTCATTTAAATGATTGGAAATTTTTTCATCAATTTTATGGGACTCTGGATCAGACCTGAAGGTGATCTGAGCAGGTCACATTAAGCATGCCAACTTGTTTCAACTACACTAAAAAATGATTTCTTCAGCATACTTCTGTCGCTAGACACCGAAGGCCACACCCTAAATGGCAAGCTAAAATCAAACACCTGCCTTGTGGAGGGTGGAGAATGGACAGTTCTCTGTAGCAACTTAACAACAAGGCAATTGTTAAGACTTTAGAGGACATTACAGAAATACAAAATACGATGAGCCTGTCTACAGACAATGGAGCACAGCTTTTCCAGACTGCTGAGGAGTGTGAAGGTGACTGTTGTGCACACAGAGCCCTTGACAGCTGAGGTACTTAGCAAGCATGACTCTGTGCTGGTAAACGGAGCTAGTAGGATGGACAGTATTGCTTTTAGTATCTGACCTAGCTTGTTCAGAGCTCACTCAGCTCTCTCTGTACTATTCTATGTAATTTTTAATAAAATTCTAGGCATTTCCTCAAAACAAATCTGCAATTTGCACTCTTAGCTTTTTGTTATCAGCAGATGCCCAAGTTCGGTAGTGTTAGCAGTAAAGGAGACTGGGACCAAAAAAATTATTTAAAAAAAAGAAACAAATGAGGAAGGCTAGCTAATAGTGCCTTTTGGATGCCAACTCTCGCCTCCTGCCTGGCTTGTGTTCCTACTCATAAACCAGCGCAGTTATATAAAAATAGAACATCTGATGGTGTTATTTTCATTTCAGTGTACTCCTAAAGGCTAATAAAATTGGAATTAATTTCCCTCTGAGCCTTCAGCAAAAATCTCACTGGCTTGATCTGCTGGGTCTGACCTGTTGTTTAGAGTTTTTTTTAAGAGACAGACAAAGAATGCAGCCTGAGGACATTCTTTTTTTAAAAATTCTACTTGGAAGGATACCTCAAATATTTTAATCCATCTTTACTTTATTTTCTATATTACTGATTGATTACTTTCTTTTGTGACCCTTATATTTAATTACCTATGTTTAGAAGAAATATAACAACTTAATGTAGTCACTAAAAGCATTTGAGTTACTGCAAGTTAATGAGATGCTCCTCATTATCTGAGTCATATAACTGCTTGGACATATACTTTTAACCCTTAAGCCTCCTTGTAAGGCTGTCTATTTCTTCTGAATATATTTTTTTCACATCTGAATTCTGAAGCTTAAAACTATTTTCTGAGAACTCTCACTGTCTTCTTTTAAAGAAATGTATTTTCAGGACTCAACACAAAAAATATGGTAAGTAGGAATAGCAGTAGCACTATGATAATTCATTGCTGTCTAAGATCAGACGAGATATATATTTTTCTGTAAAAGACAGTATAAAGACCTTAAAACAGTCAAAGTGGTGCAGTGTAAAACACTACCTAGTTCAATATCCTTTCTCCAGCAGGACTGTAAGCAGATGCTTTGGAAAAAATAAGAGGGCAAAATGCAAGTCTCTGCAACATGCTTTCTTTCAGTACTGTCCCAGTGTCCAGCTCAGGAGACTTCTTGATCTGAATGTAGTTTCCACGTATCTGGTAATCCTTAATGGATTTCTCTTCCAAGAGTTTGTTCATTCTCCTCTAGAAACAATATTTACTTTGGCATCCACAGTATTGACAGCACAACATAAACCAAGTTATGAAGCTTTTTCAGTACCAGGCAGTGTCTACTGGTGTCCTCTTATTAGAAGAAAAGAAGAAAACAATTGAGAAGTTGAGAATTCCAGGGGTCTCTGGACCTGTATTGTGTGGCATGGTTCTTTGTGGAGAAATAATGCAGTTTTAGTTCTCTGCTTGTCAGTTCTTCTGCTGTGAGTACATACAAAACTCAGCTGCTAATTATCCTCTGGTAGGCATTTGAAATGTTGTTGCCAGTTCTTAAAAAGTTATTGCAAATATCATTGTAATTGGTCTTTTTCTGACAGTACCGATTACCAGAGCAATGTGAGAATCCTTTTTGCATTACAAAGGGGAAAAAGTCAACCTTAATGAATGTGATGAGATCTTGCAAAAGTGAATCCTAAAGAAAGAAAAACACAAAAAAAATCCCCAGGGGACAAATAAAGAGATCCAGAGTAGGCTTTGATAAAGTCCTTATTCCAGTGAAATCATTTTTGAAACTAGATGAAAAAGAGCAAGGCCAAAGTTTAGTCTATTTTTCTGAAATGCTAATTATTTTAGTGCTAGTAGGCAGTCTTACAATTATGGGAATTCATGGGAGTTGGCAGACACTGTACATGGCTTAATTTTATAGTCACTGTCCACTACTGTGTGCAACTGAGCTGTTGTCTTATTTTCCTCCTTGTGGTGATAGCCTGATGTGCCTCATCTCATTGCCACCAGAGGGGCTTTGAAGATCTGTAGCCTATTTTGCTTTGCAATAGGAGAAGTTTCCTCTATGAAGCAAGCAGTATTAAGCTTGCAGTCATGCAGCTGGTTGCAAGAGGCTAATATGAAGGGCAATGATGCTATTCAGGGCTAACTACTGTCAACTGCTATCATCATTTTCCCTTTCAAGCCGGGCAAGAGTGAAAGGGAAAAGAGATGTGTGTTTGCAGAGATGTGTGTTTGCTTTAAGTCATAAAAGGAAAAGCACTGGTAGGAATTCCAGATTGTTAAACCCAAACAATATCTGGAAGAACTACACTGAAAAAAGCAGTGGGGAGTTGCTTTAAAGCCCCCCAGAGATGTTGGACTCCATATTGAATGAAAGTTGCTGATGCATTACAGGAAGTATTAGAGTAGCAAATGTTGCTTTCCCCATATCATGTATCTGCACACCAGAGAAGTATTTACCAGTAAAGAATCAGCTTCTGAGCTTGCGGGAGTGGATGCCAGGACTTTACCTGACTTAGTTAAGTGTTAGGAGGTTCCAAAAAAGTATAAAGCATAGGATTAGCTTTATGTTTACCAAGTGTAGGCCACATTTACTAGAGAGAGGGTAATTTGCTGCATTGTTTTCTGATACAGTGGTAGGAGGAATTAGATGGGGGTAAATCTGCTGGAGGCTGTGTGAAATTCTTAAAAATTCTTTTAAAAAATTGCTTTTGCAGAACTCATTCGCTGTGTGAGGATACATCTTCAGAATTGCAGAGGGTCATTTCTGTGGAGGGAAGAGGCCTACCTGAATCCCAGACAAGCTCATTCACAGGCAGAGGAGCAATGGCAAGGTAGTGTGCTAATTAATGGCAAGGTAGTGTACTAATTAAAGTGTAATGTACTTGAAGGAGACTGGTCACAGTTTGGAGGTAAATGAAGAAGAGCTGTCAGTTTCCAAAGAAAATGGAAGGAGTCCACATGAAGAAAGTCTATAAAAAGAAACAGAAGCTGCTTTTGACTTTGATTGTGTATTTATACAATTGTTAGAATCCTAGAGATGCTGAGTGAGCTCACAAAAATTAGTCTAAATAAGAGAAAGGATTTATTTGCATGATATGATCTGAAAATACATTGAATACTGAGAAAATACATGAAGTGAGGCCAGAGAGTAAAGTAAATGAAAGTGTTTGGTTCTGGCCGATAGCTGATGCAATGTTAATTTCCTGTCAAATAAGACATAATGATTGCTCCTTTGTCAGTAGTTGGCTCTGACAAGGGAGGAGACACGGGCTCCTATGTTGGGAATGCAAGGGTCGCTATCTGTCTGTTTTTAGAGTCTGGTTCTGTTTATGATGCATTGGGAGCCTTACTCAACAAAGTTCAAGTCAATCCAGGCTAAGCTTTTGCTTAAGTCATTTACTTTACATGGACTTAAGCATGTGCCTGAAGTGGAGCAAGTGCAGAAGTCCGTTTCTGCACTGGAGTTTCTGTATCTGATTTAAATAATTCCAGCTGAGACTACAGAGCTCTGTCTATCTTCTGATACCATTGTTACATATGCTACAGAACATGTTCATTTTAACAATATCGTATTTCAAAGAGCAAAGAATAACTGATTTTAAAACTAGTCGTTTAAAGAGGGCAATGTACATTTCAGCCTTTTGGACAGTGGAGGATAAACTTGCCTTTCCCTGTTGGCTTGTCAAATACACTGCTGTGTATAGATTACTAAGTCTGCAAGCAATTGCTTTTAGATAGGAGGTAGGTGTACATATGTGTGTGTAAGCATAAAATATATATACATGTATATATAAAAACTGTTACTGAGAACTTTCTCTTAAATCCTTGTTTATATTGTTATTCTTTACCCCTTTTCAGAACTATTTGAATTACATATATGTGTAGCTAGAATTACTTATGCTCAGAACCTACAAGGAAGCCTGTGATGAAAACACGAATGCTTAGCAATTTAGATGGCATGGCAACGTAATACGCCTATTGAATGCAAATTCTCAAGGGCCTGAAACAACATTGTGTGTCGGACTTCACTCAGGGTTCTTAATATGAGATATAAAGGACAAAGAAGATGGAAACAGTATGTCATGGCAGAAATCAGAATTTCTTTGTTCAAGTAGAGAAGGTCTCAAACTTAATTTGTAAAATTTGTTTGGCTCTTTAACAGATTACTGTGTCTTATCAAAATGTTTTATTTTCTAATGTAATTAAGAAGATCCTTATTAATAGTTTTCCTGCTGTTCCTTAAGTGAAAGCTGAGGTCTTCTCCGGCAGAGAAAAATTCTGGAGTTTAATTTTATGTTTGCAGCTTTCAATAGGATGAGGAATCTAGTAATTAATCTCTGACTTTTATGTGGGGTTTTATGTTTTTCTTTTGTCTTTGGTAGGCCTTGAATTCTCTTAATTGTTGGACATATTAGATGATTATATGATACTACCTTGTCGCAGGGACGAGGAACTAGAAGTATCTTTTTCTGATTTCTGATATGTGATATTATTCCTGCACTTTTTGTTCTTTTTGTCTCAGGGTAGTAGATCCTGGGCTAGGTCTCTGAGACCCTTGAGAACTGCTCTCAAGAAGCAGATGTACTTTATCATAAGATTTAAGTAACTTGGTCATATCGTAACAGGCCTTTTTGTGGATTCTGAGCATATATAATATTAACCAATACTGAGGGAATGTAAAGAGATTTCTCTGAGAAGCTCAGGAGCTCTCTGAGAAGTTATGCATTGTTCACTATTTCATTACCCTATTTCTGAGGCCAGGTATGGGAAACTTGAAAAAATATTACTTTTGTCCAAACTGGACTGCTTATAGGAAATAATACAGAATATTATGTTGATAGTAAATAAAATCCATGTTGTAGATTTCCATTATTTTCAATTATTCATGCACTTCATTTACTTTTGAATTTTCACAAAAAAATGCAAGAATCCATAATATGAATTAGTGGGATCAGAAAAAGAAGCATAATAGTAGTTGACTAAATTAAGTCCGGTGTCATGATTTTTTGCGCATTTTATTTTAGTGCTCTGCTAGAAATTTAAGAATAGGAAACAATTCTCTCTGCGCAGCAGGTAAGTTTGTGTGCAACAGTCAGTTAATGATTCTCACTGAGAATTTGTTCTCCTGTTGTTATTAATGGTTTGCGATACACACGGTGTGTTAGATACTGTGGTGAACGGATTGTATTGTCTGCCCAGATGAATACACAGTCTGTGACACAGCATGTGAAAATCACGCAAGGTGGAAAGTTGAAAAATAAAATATGAGGGTTAGGAAAGATCAGGTTTATTAAGCAATGTCATGAAAGTAATTTTGCAATAGATCTGCATTCTGACCCTTTAAAATCAAAGGGAAAGTGGCTGAATTCTTATCATTCCTTATTTAAAAGTCCCTTACCAACTATACAGCTTTTGTCTCCGCTGTGTATACCAGCCCTTAAGCATGAGATACTGTGAGTATTTTATGTCTCTTACCTCTGTCAGTCCAGAATCCTCACAGTATCACATAATGTCAGGAGTTTTCGTCAGCTTCCCCATCCCAGCCACTTGGCAACCTACCTTTAATCAATACTATTCTGTTGCTCCTGCAGTACTGGGACAGTGGACTAGGGACTGATGTATGAGTTACTTGATCCACTGCAGAAGGTAATGTATGAAAATCTGGGAAGTGGCTGGGTTCACAGAGTGAATCCATCAAGCTCCATTCCTGTAGCAGGTGTAGAAGTGGAGAAAAATCCTCCTGGGCTGCCCTGTGGGGAGATGGTTTAGGCCATCTGATTTTCTTGTTTGATTCAGTCAATGTTGCATATCTGCTCCTTGCAGACTCTCAGGATTTGTTGTATCTCTGAGGTCATGGGCCACAAGACATTTGCACCATGAAGACCAAAGGCCTGATTCTTTCCTGGAGCGTATCCGAGGGCCAGAGCTCATAGAAGTGTACAGTAGACAAAATAAAATCCATTCCAGTCTAGACGTCCATGAGCAGCCTGGAGGACTGAACAGGTAAGAAGATGTGTTTATACTTTAAGGGAAGAAGAGAGAGATTATGCTATTTCCTCTGTGACCGGGATGAGATCTTTATTTTAGTATATAGTATGGAGTTTAGCATGGGAGATGAACAGAGTATCTAATGCAGTTCAGGAATCTTCACATAACTGAAGTATTCCAGCTTTCAGCAGAATGTTTCTTTCCCCCTCAAAAGCAGCTTGGCAAAGATCTTGAAGTAGAGGGTTTTGATCATGCCGCTTCAGGCAGAACAGTTTCTCAGAAACAGAATTGAATTGTATGCTGCCTGTGTGGGAAATCTTTTCTAAAAGGCTGTATTGATCTGTGTGATCTGCCAAGTTGCTATCACTGAGCTGAGGATGAATGCAGTTCCCATTTCAAGGATTCAGGATGCTGCAAGTTGTGATTTCTCAGGACATTCATGTTATATACATTAGCAGCTAGTGCTAGGAAACTCCAAACAAGTAGTTATGCGAAATGCATCATTGCTGAGTTACACCTACTCAGGAGTTCAGTTGTTTACATTACAGAAGGCTTCTGATGCAGAAATGAGACAATCTTTTGGCTGCTGACTGAACTCTTTAGCATATACTCAGTCTTTGGTATTGAGGGCAAGTTCAATCTTCTCTTAAGCAAAATTTTCTAATAAAACAATTGAGGCCTGCAAGAGAAACCTTTATCTGTTTCCATTCTTTTGACTTTATGAATTGCTATTATTGATGAATATATAACTTAGTGATTTAAATAAAACTCCAGCTAAAAGTGGTAAACAAAGTCCCAAGATGCGCAGGCTCCCATAGCTTTTTGGGTAGCTGGACTGGTGGGTAAGCAAGTCATCAGTCATCTGAGATGTTTCAAAATCTCAGCTAGTAATTCAAATGAAAATAACCTTTAAAGGGCAATGCATGGTAGTACAGGTCACCTTGACTTGTGGCAGGCCAGTACAGCCCTATTATCTTCACTTGATCTGCTCCTTAGAATTTCAGCTCAAGAGCAGAGTAAATCCGCATTCCTAACACATTTTCTTGAATTAGCTAGACTGCTATCCTCTAGTCACTCAAGTCAGCAGGCAAAAGATTTTTCAGACATCTGGATCAGTACCAACTGCAGATTAAAAGTCCTTAGAGAGGACAGCATTGATCCTGCCAACAAACCTCTATATAAGGCTATTAGAAGTGATGTTGGAGGTGTCCGTCCTTGCCTTCTTGGATTTACACTGTTGCCATGTGACAGTAGCTCCCAGTTGTGCTATCCTGGAGGCTTAATTCTGCAGCAGTGGTAGGTATGCTTGTTATTTGTCCAGCAGCCTTGGCACTACATCTATGAAGAAGTCTTGAAAGGATTGAAGAAAGCTTAAAATAGCAGCCAAATGGATACAAGGCTATAAATAGTGAGGTACATGTTGCCATGCACTAATATGCCTGAGAAGAAGCTTCAGACATCGGATGTGGTCACAAACGTGTATGCTCAGTACATGATAAAGAGAAACTAGTGCCTTAAAATATTTATGCAAAGGGGCCTATCATTGCGGTCAAAGTTGACCTTCCTAATCTTATCGGTGCATATATAAGAGGCTAGTAAGTCAGTCTGTCGTGTATGAAATGCCAACAATCTTTTACGCTCTTTAATGTGTTTGTTTTAACTTGCTGCAGTCACTGGCCCTTGGCCAGTTTTAATGTCAACTATAGTAACAACACCAATGAAGAGTAAGTACTGATAACTTCCAAACACCTTTCTGCCACTAGCTCCTTCTCTTTTTCCCTTTTCAGCCTAGTAACATTTGTAGTATAGACTCCTGCTTATCTCTTTTATCCCTAAACCCTTCCTAAGTATATAGTTTAATTATAGAGAAAGATCTTGTTTTGTCAGTTCTAGAAGCATCCTTCGTGCTCCCCATGAACTACGTTTTGTCCTAAGTTGTCCTTACCTCCCCAGCAGTGAATCTGATTAATTAAGCATTTAGTCCCTACCTCCTCTAGTTCAGCTGGCTGATTTTACTGCATTGCCAATAGATTTGTTAGTGATTCAGATTTTAAATGAGATTCATGCGTTCATCTTCTAACAATGCCTTTCTTCTGTTCACGTGCTGCCCCTTTGGCAAATCAAGTCCCTCAGAAATTTCTTGTTGTCACATGAGGATTTGGTACTGAGCAGGAAACCAAAAAAACCTGTGTATGTGCAGTCTGAATGAAAACTGAGCATCTTTCTAAAATGTGTGCTTTAGTTTAGCCAGACATTCTTGGTGTAGATGTAGAGAGAGTGACAGGCAATATAATAAGGCTTGCACCACAACAACTCTGACAGAAGCTGTCCTTTGGAATCTATTTTATATATTTGACAAGATATTTCATGGTAGTCCCCCAAAGAGAAGCCTCTTGAAAGGTGTCCTGTAATTTAAAATCACCCAACAATGATGTTTGTTGCATGTCTTAGATCACAGCTGTTTGAGGTCTCGTCTGCACTGTAGCCTCCAGCGGCAGGTTTGTTCTTATGCATGACGAACAGTTAATTTCTTTCATTACTTTTCAGATGAAAAACAAAAGATAAAAAGCACTAGGACAGTTTCTGATCATGTCAGAAATATTCAGGAAATTGTTGTTTTTTGTCCCCAAATACATCACAGACTAGCAGTATAGTGTACATTTAAAATAACACTGTAAAACCTTCTTGCACATACCTGAACAAGAGGTCTTCCTTCTCCTAAAGCAACTTTTTGCTTTAGTTTCATGGCTTTTATAAAAATGAAAATTGTTGTGCAGAGAACAATGATAGAAATAGGCATCATTTGGTTTAGTTTGGAGTAAAAAAAAGGGTACTAAAAGCTGAAGCCTGGCCTACTAGTCAGGGACCAAAGGACCAATTAGAATGGAAATGCATTTTAATCTTGTTTCTGAAAGTAACTCATGTACCTTGGGCAAAACTTTCATCTACTTAGTGTTTCATTATTCCTAAAGGAAGATAACATCTGTGTGTCTACCTGCCTGACAGTCTAGAAATTACTTGATTTACAGAGTACTTGGCAGATGAAAAATGTAAATCTTATACTCATTTAGAGACTACAGCAGTGTTTTCATAGGGGCTGATGAAGATATATTTTCTCAGCCTGAAAATGCATGCTCCTTTTAGTGTGCTGAAGACACAGAATAGATACCACTGTAGTGCTAACAAAAAAAGATAAGCACAACAACTGTTTCATTGATTACTGGATTCCAGTTTATTCACTGGAAGCACTGATGAAGAAAAAAGTTGCAGGTCTTGTTAAAGCTTTGAGTTTTTCACTGTGTAAAGGATCTAAATGTGCCCATCCATGAGGAATTGTAGGTGATGGTTTCAAGTCTTTGAAAACATCCTGAGGATTATGACCAACCTTTTCCTTTGAGTAACTTCCACTGCCAGACTACAAGTAGTTGGATTATGATAACATTACCTCAAAAGGGAGATGAACAGAGAAGAAGGAAATGGAGGAGTCTCACATATGAAGAATACCTGTAACTGACAAATATGAGATTTGTCAGAAGGAGATCTCAGGCCAAAGAAAAATAGATATCAGCATTAGATACCTGTTTCAAAATAGAATGTAGGAGAAAGTTGGAATTTCAGATCAGGAACCAAGCATAGTAAGTTATAGTGAAAGCCTCACATGTTTTCTAAATAAGAAGGAGCTTTAGGGGCAGATTTGATTTCAAAAGGAAGCCATAACAATCCAGGAGGCCAGTAGTAGAGAAATAAATCACAGAATCACAGAATGGTTGAGGTTGGAAGGGACCTCTGGAGATCATCTAGTCCAACCTCCCTGCTCAAGCAGGGTCATTTAGAACACGTTGCCCAGGATCACGTCCAGGTGGGTTTTGAATATCTCCAGGGAAGGAGACTCCACAACCTCTCTGGGCAACCTGTGCCAGTGCTGAGTCACCCTCACAGGAAAGAAGTTTTTCCTCATGTTCAGATGGAACTTCCTGTGGTTCAGTTTCTGCCCGTTGCCTCTTGTCCTGTTGCTGGGCACCACGGAGAAGAGTCTGGACCCATCGTCTTGACACCTTCCCTTCAGATACTTGTACACATTGATGAGATCACCTCTCAGTCTTCTCTTCTCCAGACTAAGCAGGCCCAGCTCTCTCAGCCTTTCTTCATAGGGGAGATGCTCCAGTCCCCTCATCATCTTTGTAGCCCTCTCTTAGTGGACTCTCTCCAGTAGTGCTGTGACTCTCTTGTCCTGGGGAGCCCAGAATTGGACACAGCACTCCAGGTGAGGCCTCCCCAGGGCTGAGGAGAGGGGGAGGATCACCTCCCTCGACCTGCTGGCAACACTCTGCCTAATGCACCCCAGGATGCCATTGGCCTTCTTGGCCACAAGGGCACGTTGCTGGCTCATGTTTAACTTGTTGTCCCCCAG